GCACTAGTATAAATTTAATATAAAAATATGCTAATAATTAGTTAAAGATCTAAAGAATAAAAAAAAATTGGTTCAGTCTATTGCAACACTTAACTGTATTTCAAGACCACCTGCAATATAGTCAAGAAATGTTTTTTCAAATGTACATTGTAACCATAATTCTCCTTTAGGTACGAGTGAAATTTGTTGAAAACTAGCATGATTCGATGATAAGAGTTCATTTATTTTAAGTACACGCTCTCCAATACATTTATGATTACCATCATGTTTATGTTGCCAACAAGTAAAACTGACCTCATCATTAGGTGACCTATTGTTTTCATTCTGTAAATCTCTTTCAAATAATTTTATTATAGACCAATCTGGATTTTTAGACTTGCATCTTTCACTTTTATGAATAAGAACATCCATACTACTAAGAGTATCTGAATTTCCTTGAATTCTGCGACTCAATTGATAAAATACATCAGGCTTAGTGAGGAGTGTCGGTATATGAAGATTACGACCCTGAACTTTCAAACTAAATGCCTTACCATTTTCTGGTGGAAGTTCACGACCAACAATGATAATCTGTCCTCGATCTTTCCCTGGATGTTTCGTTAAAATAAGTTTCCCTTTAAGGATTCCCTTCGACTTTCCTAGGATAGATCCGATATCAGTGACAAATTCACCTATGAGCTCTTGTTCATTCCAAGCTAAATTATTACGTTTATCAACGTCCACTGCAATAAATTTAATCCTTTGTAATTCCTCAAAATGATATTCTAAAATAAAAGGTGTTTCGAAACTAGGATTAGATTCATTTTCAATTCGTTCTGTTTGACTGTGTGGATTATTTAGCCAGTCATTTCCATGTGGATTTTTCAAAAATAAAAAAACTTGTGGATCAGATTGAGAAAGAAGGTCCAGTTTAGGAATCCCTTTTAGAGTCACTTTCAACTCAATTATAGAGGAATTATGAGCTTGTAAGGCTTTAGTGGTAACGGACATATTTTTAATTGATTATTTGCGCCTATTTTACGCTATTTAAATATTATTTTTATATCTTTAGCTAAGAATGCATAGTTTGAATGAAGGGTTTAAATATTTTTTTTGTCAAGTTCTATTTAGAACTTACTGTGCAACTTCTTATCTGAGAAATAAATAAAGTGCGTAACATGTGTGACATTAGAGTAATTTCCTGTTAAATAATAATATATCATATTCTTGAAATTCCATTACCCTTTAATTTTTTATTACTAACGAACTTCTAATAACTGATGGCTTCGAAGAAAGAGAGTTCATTTATAAACTATTAGACAAAATAATTTTAATAAATTGAAGATTTATAATCCTGTGATTAAAAATCGAATGAATTTCATTCCTTTCAATGAGGAATCTAATGATAAAAAAATTCTATACAGTATCATAAGATATAATTGAATGGATGACGTAAAGAACTCGAAATTTTTTATCGATATTTGTTAACTGTATCTATTAAGAGTAGATAGGTTTGAGACGATTTTTTCATATGAAAACTAGGCAAAATTTGATTTTTTTATTTTATTAAAAGATTGTAAACGAAAGCCTAACTAGCTTTCTCTCTTTTTACAATTTATATCTCATTTTACAAAACAATTACTTAATTATGACTACAACTTCGAACGCACGATTATTACGATTTCTAATGACTTCCGACCTACAACTGCCCCAGTATCGCCATCAAAATTTTCATCCTCCACGTGATGATCGACCAATAAAAAATTATCAAGTAAGTTAATTTTTTAAAACTTTGAGCAAAGGTTTCTCAACAATCACCTAATCAATCTTACTGAATTTTTTTTATTTGAATTCTACAAATATGTAGAATTTGAATAAAAAAAAAAAATCATCAAAATTGGTTAGGTGGCTATTGAGAAACCTTCGCTCAAAGTCAAAGCAAATCTATCTCCGCCTATAAACAAATTGTTATTTTTTAATTTTTTTTAAAACTTTGAGCGAAGGTTTCTCAACAACTACTTAACCAATTTTGATAAAAAATTTTTAATTCGATTCTACATATTTGTAGAATTCAAATAAAAAAAAAAAAAATCATCAAAATTGGTTAGGTAGTTGTTGAGAAATCTTCGCTCGAAGTTTTAAAAAAAATCAAATAACTATTTATAGGTGGAGATAGATTTGCTTTGACTTTGAGCGAAGATTTCTCAATAACCACCTAACCAATTTTGATGATTTTTTTTTTTTTATTCAAATTCTACATATTTGTAGAATCTGAATAAAAAAAAATTTCATCGAAATTGGTTAAGTGGTTGTTGAGAAACCTTCGCTCAAAGTTTTAAAAAAATTAAAGAATAACAATTTGTTTATAGGTAGAGATAGCTTTGTTTTGACTTTGAGCAAAGGTTTCTCAACAACTACCTAACCAATTTCGATAGATTTTTTTTATTCGAATTCTACATATATGTAGAATCTAAATAAAAATATTTTCATCGCAATTAGTTAGGTAGTTGTTGAAAAACTTTCACTCAAATTTTTTAAAAAATTAAAGAATAACAATTTGTTTATTGATGGAGATATATTTGCTTTGACTTTGAGCAAAGGTTTCTCAACAACCACCTAACCAATTTCGATGAATTTTTTTTTATTCAAACTCTACATATTTGTAGAATTCAAATAAAAAAAAATTCAGTAAAATTGATTAGGTAGTTGTTAAGAAACCTTCACTCAAAGTTTTAAAAAAAAAATTAAAGAAT